CTCCACGCAGCCTGCTGTTCAGTCATTTGGCTGTCCCTCACTAACCCCCCTGCCGGCCTGAGGGCATGAGGGTTAATTTGCATATTGCCTCTTTATTATATAGGAGGAGGGGAATAACAGCACCCGCCTCTCTGGCTTCCTGAAAGAATGAAAAGCAATCCTGTGTGTGCACCACAGGCACGGAGTCAGTGCCCCAGAAGCTTCACTCTCCATCCCCCTTCCTTCCATCTCCATAAACATGGCCTTGTGGGGCATCATGCACGCCTCTCAGACCACTGCTGAATTGGAAACCGTGAAGGTGAGAGCTATAGTCTTTTGTTAGAGGAGACACATGCATTAGCTAATTTGCTTGGCAAGTATTCATCCAGCATCAGTGTCATGCTTGGTGCTGTTCTAGGCACAAAGGGAGACAGGAGAAATACAGGCCAGGGTCCCTCCCTGGTCTTGGAGATGACAAACACAAAAGAACCCTCGTGATCCGAATGTCACCCGTGGTAGCTGCTGCCACTCACTTCAGAGTGACCCCTTTCTCCTACTGGCCCACCCCATGGGAGCTTTGTCCCTGTTTGAACTGGGTCTGATTTTGGATCATTATCTCTGCTTTCTGCATCACGTTGAGAAAGAATCATGGCTGAGAACATGGGCCGTGGTGACAGAACGACCTGGATTTGATTCTGACTCAGCCACTTACTAATTGTGGCCCCTTGGCAAGTCACTTCACCTTTCTACACTTCACACATAGTCCTCATCTCTGATGTGGGGACAGTAATAGTAAACACCTTCGTTTGGTGTGAGGCTTAAGTTGGATTACATCTTTAGGGTGCTTAACCTAGTGCCTGGCACATGGCAGGAGCTCAGAGTTATTAGAGGAATTCTGATTCCTCCTGCCCCGGGTTCCTGCCTTGTTAGGTTTTCTCTTCTTTCCACAAATAAGGTGGAAAATTGGTCCAATGCTTTGGGACTAATGGCATTTTATGGATTATCTGGGGCCGTGTTCCCACTTTACTGTGCGTTAATCATGCGACTGGGCAAGTCATTCAACATCTCTGAGCCTCAGTTTTATTATCTGTAAAATGGGAATAGTAACAGCACCCACCTCATGGGGTTGCTGTGAAGATGAACAGGCATCATGAACCTAGGGTAGTTGTCATAGGGCTTGGTACATACAGTACCCTCCAGAAATCTAGTCGTAGTGAGCACAACTTCACGCATTCATCCTGAGAAGTGATGTGGGCTTTATTATGTCCACTGAGAAAAGTGGTAGCTGGTTGGAGGATGGAGATGCTGATGTGGCATTTTGAGAATCTCTTCTCAACTGCCTTTGAGATAGAAACAGATAGAAACTTCTCAATACTTAGGAAGGATCTAGGTTAGCTGGGACTGTGATGTCTGAAGTTCTCTCTTTTCTTTGATGTCTGAAATGGTTGCTAATGATAATGTCTCAAGTCACTGTGGACTAGCACGCTGGCTCCAGCCTGACCCCTCCACTGACCGGCTCTGGGAATGACAAGCAAGAGATGTGAACTCACTAGCCCAGTGGTTGGTGAACTGCGGCTCATGAGCCACATGTGGCTCTTTGGCCCCTTGAGTGTGGCTCTTCCACAAAATACCGACTTCTGCGCATGGGCCATGAAGTTTCAATCACACTGTACGTTTGCGCCCACACGTGGTATTTTGTGGAAGAGCCATACTCAAGGGGTCAAAGAGCCGCATGTGGCTCGCGAGCCGCAGTTTGCCGACCACTGCACTAGCCTAACACAGCTTCTGCGTTTCTCTGGGTAAGGTGGAGACAAATACACAGGCCCCATGCGGAGGAGGAACTGGGCAGGCAGTGAAAGCACATTGTGTGTGTGTGTGTGTGTGTGTGTGTGTGCGCGCGCGCAGGGGAAACAAAGCCATTTGATTTGTCATTTTCCCTTTTAATAGATGACCAAGGAAAAGGGTGGGAGGTGGGCTGGGGAGAGATCTGACCTTCCAACATCTACCTGGGAAGAATATTTTTTGTTACTTCTAGACGCAGGCTGCTGGCATTTGAATGTTAGTCCTGCTACTCGCTTGCTAGCTGACCTTGGCCACTGACCTTAATCTTGCTGAGTGTATTTCCTTATCTGTAAAGTGGGGGTATGATGTTACTGACTGTGGGAATGCTGGAGGTTGGTCCAGTAAGGCTCTTAGAATAGAGCCTGGCAGACAGCAACCCACCTGCTGCTTACTCCTGGCAGGAGGACCCCGTTTATTATCCTTGTTGTCATATTGTGTCATTCAGAGGAGATTCCGCCCCGTGAGTAGCTGCTCCTTATTGCCGGGTTTGCTGCCAGGCCCTGAGTGCCTCTCGTGGAACTAAGAACAAACCCACGGGGCTGGCATTATCATCATTCAC